TTTTTTATATCATTTTTATTGCTTCCGAGACCCATATATGTACAAGTGCTAGGATACACTGGTTGTACAACAGTGTAGGAAATCAAGAAAAATCTACAAAGAAGCAAAAGAGGCAAAACAGAAGAGGACAATATGTTTGGTTAAAATCCTATTTTAGTCTCTAAACTATTGCATAGATCTCAAATTTAGTCCTCAAACTTAAAAAATCTTTGATTTGATCCCTATGATTTATTATTTTAACCCCAACTTGGTCCTTTCATTAAAAATCTATCATTAACTCACAGTTAACTTACAGGGAATTAATGACATATCAAAAATTTCAGACATGTAAGATAAAAATGATGACATAACAATATGATATGTTATATTCTTACCCAACACAAAAAAAGTGGAGCCCACCAAAATTATAATTTTGCCTTCATCTTCTTCCTTAGGGGTGGGCAAAAGTCGAGAATATCGAACTGTCTCATTGGTATGTATCGAAATTTTGGGAATCGATACCGAGATTTATACCGACGGGAACAAAACACCGGTAAAAGAATGATACCAATTAATATTTTGGGATGGTATTCAGACTCCAACTCAAAAATACCAAATACCGAGTACCGTACCGAATATCACATATTATAATTAAACATTTAAAATATATTTATAAATTAATTAATTAAAAAATTAAAATAATTAAATATTCCTAATTCAATGCTAAATAGTAAATACAAAGCAGTCCTTAAAACCCTTAGTCTTTTTACTCGTCGTTCTATCTTCTATGGTTCCACCTATTGCGTTCATCTACAATCGACTCTGCTCTCCCCTGGCGGTGTCTCCACAATTGCAAGTAGATAGCGGTGCCATTGACAACTAGTGCTACAACCCACAACCAAATACCGACTAGGCAACCACCAGTAAGTCTTGCTTGATCTTTCTTCAAAAGATGAGTGTGATGTGCAAATTCTTAAACAATTTTGCTGGATTAAACAATTCCCTTTCAATTGCTTTAAATCCAAACAAAATGTCAAAAGATTGAAAACTTTATTCTTGCAAAACTTGAAAACTAAAATAAAAGAGAAACAGAGAGTACAAGGAAAAGGACAGGTGAAGAGATGAGTTGGAGAAGATGAGAAAGTGGGACTGTGAGAGAAATAGAATTGCATGCAGCATGCCCATCTTTGTGATGTTGCAACTACTTCGGGGCTTTGAGGCTTTAATTTTTTATATGTGTTCCATCTGCCGAATTAGACAAAAAAGCCAAAAGCCCTTGTTTTGCTTTCTCTCTGAAAATGGACTTTTGGACCAATTTTAACCGGTACACATTGGATCGATACTTGGTTTTTGTTGTAAAAATACTAAGTACCGAGTCTCAAATAGTGTACCAATTAAATATATTTGAGTCGATATTTGGTACAAGGCTAAAGAATTGAATATAATTGGTACAAGACAAAATTAATATGGTACAGTACTGTACCGATGCCCACCCTTATTCTTCGTCCAGCATCCTCTTTCTCAAATCTCCTTCATTCATCCTTCTTTTTCTCTCTCTTTGCCTCTTTCGAGTCAACTTTACTCACCATTTTTCTAAATTAAACAATTAATTCATTAAAATGGAATTCCATTCTTCATCAATCAATTCTTCTTTTTCATCAAACAACAAAACCCACAAAAAAATAAAATAAAATTTTTATTTTTTTATTTTTTTCCCTTGGGTTTGACGAAACCTAAGCATGTTGGGTTTGAAAGAACCTAGGCCTAGGTTCAATGGAACCCAAGCCTAGATTCCAAGGAACTCACACTTGGGTTCCATCGCACCTAGGTGTGCTGGGTTCCATCTAGCCCAACAACCGTTGGTTCCAAGGGGAAAGAGAAGGAAAAAGAAAAAAAGGAAAGAATTTTTAAAGTTTTTTTTTTTTTCATCTTAATATTTTTTATATTATTATTTTTTCTATGTTATTATTTTTTGTCATGTTCTCTTCCACGTGTATTAATATTTTGCCATGTCATCATGTAACCGTGGATTAACAGGACACGTCATGAGGTTTTTAACATAAGAACCAAGTTGAGGTTAAAATGGTAAAAAGTATGAACCAAATCGGGGATTTTTAAGTTTGAGGGCCAAATCAAAGGTCTATACAATAATTCAAGGA